CAACTAACAAAATTGAAGACCGACATCCGTTATATAAATTTCGCCACATCAGAGATTTTAAGTGAGATTGAGAAATTCTGTGGACAACTGTACACAAAATTGTTAACACCACATACCAATGCAAATAACAACCAAAGAGCTAAAGTCACCTGACACTTTACCGATAATATCCCGGGCGTCAATTGACAGGAAGTTGAAATGGCTCCCGATGCCTTGCCGTTTTTAAGCTAAGTAACTTAAAAACAGCAAGGCACCGGGGGAGAACGAAATTACAACAGAGCTTCTGAGAGTGGGTGGAAAACCGGTACTTGTAGTCCTTCATAGGCTATTTAATTTTGTCATCCATAATGGTATTACGCCCGAGGTGTGGAGCAGAAATGTGGTAGTCCTGTTCTTCAAGAAGAGTGACAATATCCTATTGAAGAACTATAAACCGATATCCCTTCTGAATCGCGTCTACGTACTGATTTATTAGATGATTGATTAGACCAATCATCTTACGCGCAAAATCGACGACTTCCAATCATTCGAATTAGCTGGCTTCCGAAAGTGCTTCAGCAAACTACTATTTAAAAATTATTACGAGTATATGTATGGAACCCACGACGTCTGGTTTCAACTCATAGTTGACCGGTTTTATTTTAATAGGATCCGAATTGATGTAAAATATTGTATACAGTGTTGTAATATTATATAAATATAAACATTTACTAAATTTTATTTCTATTTTATACACGTAAACAAATTCTCCCAAAACTAGAAATCATATTGACTGAAATACTCTTGGTCGATTCACATTGAGGTACAATAAATGACTCTATTTATGTTTAATGTTAGACATATATTCTGACACTACATGCTATTATAATATGAATTCCAAACAGCGATATATGTGGAATTTAACTGAAAGCATTTTATAAAGTATGAATATCACACTTGCAATTGCAGCCAACCTTTTAGCTGTGATACGCACCTTGACAAAATCTTGAACTCGTGTGATAGAGCCATCTATACATAATTGCCTGGAAACATTACCTCTGCTCTCAGTTTGATATCGTTTGAAATAAAATTAAAGCGTTGGTTTATTGAAAAGACGTTCTATATGTTGAGGAATTCGTGGCCCATAGTCACGAAGCTTAATTTAATTGTAAATTGATTTGTGTATAATTTAATTTATTTTGTAATTTAATTAATTAGTAAAAGAATTTAATCACAGTTTAATTAATTTCTAATTTATATTTCATTTAATAAATCACTTATTGTTTAATTATTATTTAATAAATTTATTACATGATGTCGAATATTTAATAGTTGTGAATATTAACATATTATTGATGTAAAATTATGAAGTCATAAACTGTATATATTTTTTAATTGGTCATTGATTTAAATGTTCATTACCAAATAGAAGGTAATTTTTTTGTCATATTCTATTAGCCCTACAGAAAGAAAACTTATCTAACATATATTTACTCATTATCCGTAAAGTACTAACACGACTGAAATTAAAAAAAAATCTTTTTCGATATAATAATATAAATATACATTAATAATTACGAATGTTGACGTATAATTAATGTAAAACTATAAATAAGTATGTTAAATATAATAATTTTGAAAGTTTTATTTTTTTAAATGATTATAAATTTAAACTTTTTTGGTAAAAAGGTGCAAAGGAACCCTTATAGTATTATAAGTTTATATGTAATATTATGTGTATTATTATAAGTTTTTTGTCCGTTTATCTATCACCGTAACTTTAAAGCTATCGAAGAAAAATTTGAAAAAATTTTGGATATTTATCGCACACAAGGAAATAATTTAAAATTATATTTTCTTGAATACGTTTGCTAGAGAGTTCAAAAAAAGTATCTACACAAATTTTCAATATATAAAATAGCTCGTTTGTGCATTAAAAAGCTGAGTAATTATTTATAAGTATAATTTTCTTGCCGTCGTTTTCAATATATGGCAGAAAATGTGGAAAAAAATACCATCTCTCGTCGCTCTCTTTGCTTCACAAACTTCGGATATAAGGGGTAATATGTAAATATACATGCATACAGGAAAAAATAGAAGAACGTTTCTAACCATAGAAAGCCTGCACAAACGGAATTCGTATAAAAATACAATTTTTATCAGGTATCTATTTTTTTTATTTCCGTTGTTTCTACTTTTTCGTTTTGTTGAATTGTTACATTTCACAAAGGTGAAACAAAGTTTACAAAGTCATATATGGAGATACAAAAATATGTATATATTAATATAAGGAAGGTATATATGTTTTAAGGAAGATTCTATAAAATACGAAAAGTTCTATAAATAGAAAGAAGTAATTATTTTGTGTTATTTTTGTATTATTCTGCTGTTCCAACAAGAAAACTTATCTAGCATATTTCTATTTATAGTTATTATCAGAAAAAGTAACATAACTGAACTAAAGTATATTTTTCTTGCTCGATAGTTATACTTTAGTTCATTCAATTTCATCTTCATGTTATTGTCAATGTCATTACCTTATATTTTGATCTTTCTATTTTTATACTAATAACTGTCAACTATTATATATTGGCCATGTGATACCCGCATAGAATATGCCACCCCGTGGGTGTCATAAAAGCTGACTAAAGAAAAGCGAAGGATGGACAGCAGCATCCCTCTTAAAATATTTCCAAAGCCTAACTACGGTTGCCATCCGACTGCCAAGCGTGGTAATAACTGTCAAAACTCCCCAAAGAGGAGGCTTATGTTCAACAGTGGACAATTAATGGCGGATATGATGAAGATGCTGCAAAGATTGAAGATAATGATAAACTTTCAACTGTACCGTCCTACTTGCGTAACTTTTTTACGTTGTAGAGTATCATTAGTACATTTCAATATTGTTGCTAACAGTCTGAAAACCTAAATCAAATTCATTGTATCTTATTCATAGCATTGTTTTTTATTTCTTCGCTACACTACCCGCATGTGGGCAAAACAGAATAGACTTTAATAGTGAACGCATCAATAAATCAAATAACTATAAAAAATAAATAATAAGAGACCTCTTGTAAATACTCTACATTTGCTTCTTTCGTAAATTTGTTTTGCAATAAGTAGTCTTTTGGTTCGTCAAAATTATGAATGAATGAAGATAATATATCGCATTTTCGGATTTTTACTATTCTATGAAAGGATGGATGTGTTAGGAAATTACTATAAATTTTAGTTATTAGTGTGCACTTAAAACCTCTATCCGTACATATGAGTATAATAGAGAAAGCCCGAAAATACGGCATATTACCTTCACCTGTTCAAGTCAATTAAGAATCTCTTTCTTTTGGATGTCGCTTTAAAAATCGTAAATTTATAGTTGTTTAGTATTATGATCACTATTAACATGTTATTTGGATGTGCTGTATTTTCAATGGCACTTTGTAATCAGCTACTAGAAATCACAAGATTCATCGAATAGAACGAAAGACTAACATTCGTATTTGATAAATTTCTTGCTAGTTAAAGTACTCAGTTTATTGATTAGGACTAAAAACATCAGGATCGGGACAAAAGTATTATCGTAAACAATGGGTACCTAAATATCATTAATAATAACTCACTTATTATATATAGGTATTAATAAAACAAGACGAGTTAGAAGTACTGTTATTATTTCTGACTTAATGACAAACCCTAACTTCCTCAATGTCGTATGTACAATATTCAACATCCGCCCCAAAGGATGGCAGAAGATGCCTCCCTTGTTTTTAGTATCAAATACCAAAACGTTCGTCGCAAGTTACAGCATGTCAATTGTAATCAATGTTTTGTTAAGGCGACATTGTTTTCTGTTACTCTTTAGAATATTCTATGAATCACAGGTTTCAAATCGCTACTTGACATGAATGTAACAACCGAAATAGAGTGTGTGTAAAATACCGCGTACAATATTAGATAATAAAATATTGTTCACGTAACATGAATCTAATATAGAAGCTTCTTTCTCTGATATTGGAAGTATTAGTATATTACCTATGGTAAACTCGTCGAGATTATTTTAAATCTTCTTCGCATACTAGAACTTTCACGTTAGCGCGTACATTGTAGTTAGATGTAGACTAGAAAATCAATGTGGTCGAAGCATGCCTCTTTCCACTACAATAGCGTATTATCGAGATACGGAATTCGCAAAGATACATCGTACTTTGGAAGATACAGCTATGAATGTTGCAGTATTTTTATACATATAAAAAGCACGGTATACGAATTAGTGGAATATTTTCAAGCTTTAATTTTATCTATAAATTTTTATAACTATAGAATGAAGATTTCAAAGTAATCCAAGATGTTGTACATCAATCCAAATTTAAATAGAAGATTAATCTACTTCTGCCGACTGTTTACTATAGTTTATTCAATTCCGTAATATTCCTTAAAAGCTATATATTTATTTTCTAAAAGAGTAATTGTCATAACACCAGATACAACAAACGCCAAATCATCAATTTAATTTAATTTTTAATTGAAACTTCAAAATAAGACACCGATTTTGATAGGTTTTATTTTTTTATTCTAGAAATATTGAAATAAATTTCTAGATATAATAATAAGATTACAATCATTTTAAGGGTTGTGACAGTTACCTGTTAAATTTCAATATTGATCTAACCGTTATACCGTAAGATGACACGTTCACTAAACAACCAAAACCGTACACATTTCTCACTATTTTCAATATAACTACAAAACTACAATTATTAAGGTAAAACCTGGAAGAGATATACACATTTCTAAATATATCCATCTTCGTTGTAGACAGTCACAAAGAATTTACGACCTGCATACATCAACTTCCTCTGCCTTTGTGATATAGATATCTAACGATGTAAGTAATACCAACAAAGATTTATGTTGTATAACAAAAATACAAAGAATCTGATGTTATATCATGCTTGCAATTGATAAAATGTAAAGCATCCAAGCGGTGCCTTTGAGAACCACTAAATAATAAATTGTTATAATTATTATACAAATGCAGGTATATTTATTTATGATTTACATTTTTCCCCAAGCGGGGCACCATGTAGCAATAAAGGAATAAACTGCAGATCTCTCCGGAAGGCAATAGCCTAGGCTCTCCAACAGAGAAGGTGTCTTCATTACGCAGTCGTGAAAATCCTTGAAATTAATCACTCCGTCCAGGTCTAAATCCATACGCTTCAACATAATGTCTACGAGTTCCTGTCAAAGATAGTTTTTTTTTTACTAGAATATAACAGAAATATTTTTATGGAATACTAGCTTTTACCCGCGATTTCATTCGCATGGACGGAATTTGTTAACTGGTTATAATAAAATTTTATAATAATAATTTAATATAAAGATAATCAGACTAGTCCCCACAAATAGTGTTCAAAATTAATCTTTTTACATACATTGATAGATGTAATTTTTTACAAAAAAGAAAATTGAAAATCAAGTGAATTCTAACAAAATATATATTACATCAAGTCAACAGACGGCAATTTTACTTACAATTGATATAAATAATAATATATAACAACAAGAACCAGCATATTTTATAAACAAGTAGTATCTGTTTATGAGTATAACGGATGAGCCAGCCATCATAGCGCTCACCAATATTTTAGGGAACTCAACCACCCGGCCCACCACGTCGTCACCACTTAGGACAATGATTAGTTTCAAGGTATTTTTTTTATACAACTTAGAATGGCAAACAAGCGGACGGCCCACTGGAAAGTGGTAACCGTCGCCTATAGACATGAGCAGTGCCATGGAAATAACAGAGTATACTGTTTCGCCCATAATACCCCCCATGCGTTGCCATTCCTGAGGACTCAGGTGTTATTCCTCTGTACCCAGTCAATTCACGCCATATCCCACCCTTCAAACCGAAACATAGCCATGCAAACACAACTGCTTCACGGTTAAAACACGAATGGGACAGAGGTACCCAAGCAATCAACTTTTGTACAAAGTTATGAATTACGTCAATAGTATATACTTATATGATTATCAAAATACCTATATATTGCAAGATTTGAATTGACATTAACACTCAGAACGATTAACAAAGAAATAATCTTAATAGGTTTATTTAAACTGGCAATTTTCAATCCAAATAAGTCTTTTTGTGGTAAGTTCGTGTATGTTCTTAATTAACTTAAGCTAATTCAATCATAGACAAGCATTTTTGTTGATAAACGAGTATCATATACTCGTTTATTCTGTAATAGGCCTATTTATTTATCTAAGTAGCAACATTTTTTTTGTTTCATGCTAAACTTACGCTTGATATTGTCTCACTCAATAATCAAAATAAATATAAATAAAAATAAGACAAAACGCCTTTACTTAGAAAATGTCTATTGAAATCTCATCTTATTTGTATCATCCTTATTACCTTTCTAGCAAGAAATTCAGAAATTAAACAGCTGTATTCTAAACTTTTTTCTTGCTCTAGCAGATTTATAAAGGATTGTAATTTAACTTTTTCTATGCTGTTTTTTATTAAAGTGTCTGGATATTTGCAGCCGTACTATGAAGGAAGAAAAATATTTTCTGAATAAGTGTTTTTTTTTTTTACAATATCAATATATTGAAATACATGTTTTGTAATAATAGTATAAATTTTTAAGAATATACATGAAACATTTTTATCAGAGATTGATTAGGTGAAACATTAAACAAAACAGACACCTTAAATTGCAATAGCTAATTAGTAAAATATTACATACATAATTTATTTTATTAGATTTCGGCGTTATTAAAGAGTAGTGAAACTATGAAATATAATATTTTCGTTAAGTAAATGCTGAAAATAAATAAATTTGGTTATATTTTAATTATGATTAAAGTTATTTTCTATTTTTAATGTACTTTACTAAAAATACCATTCAATTATTAAAAAATTTTTAGTCATAATAGATAATATTTAATTTAATTCTGACTTTCAACATATCATCATCATATTAGCCTTTACCTGTCCACTGCTGGATATAAGCGTCCCCCTTGGGTGGATTTGCCAATAGATGTTACGCTTGGCAGGCGAATTGACAATTGCAGTTAGGCTCTGGAGATGTTTTAGGAGAGACGCTGCTACCCATACCTCGCTCACCCTTAGTCGCCTTTTCGACGCCCATGGAACAGAAAGGGGTGGTCTGTTCTATGCCGGGACCACACGGCAATTTTAACTTTAGTCTTGTCATATTATTTAACAACCACGTACTTAAAAGCAATGTCAAAGTAATTTAACTAACGTTAAAATAATTACGTTACATTGGAATCGATTTATGGTGCCCTTCTCTATCTCGTAGAACGCCATTTTCAGATAGCCATTAAAGCGAAATCATTATGCCACGGAACAGAAAATGGATTAGATTTATAATACATTTGAGTCCCAACTACCGTAAATTTAATTAATGATAATCCGTGACATAATCCATTCGTTAAACTATCAATTCAAAATTTTAGTTTTAGAGATTATAGAGGATTAGGAATTAATAGTTCAAAACCGATGAAGTTGCTTCTGTACCTTATGCAACGATAAACTTCATATGATGCTATAATAATTATGTTAAAGATATAAAGATTCTCAAAACCTATCTTTAAAATAGAAATTTCAATTTGATAACATACCGAAATCTTTATTGTAAGAGTTAAACTATTTTTCTAAAGGATTTAAATAAAAAATATTATAAATTTAGTTTATTGTGATCCATAAAACAGTAAATTAGCGAAAATATCAAATTAAAATATTAGGTACAGAGTTAGGTTTGGAGAAATAGCGTCTCTGAATCTGCTCCAATGTCTATGTATCTAATGGCAAAAGTTGCTTTATGTCTAAAGTTTGGCAACTACAAATCTCAATTCATTAGTAATAAAAGTAGATACCTATATAAAATATGAGCCAATTATTGCAATATTTTTAATTTTAGTTAGATAATATGAGTACATGTATGCTTCTTGAGTCTACACCTTTACTCGCCACAACAACAATCTTGGTAGCTTATCAGATCCTTCTAGTATTATCTAGTAATATTTATAATTCAATCTACATAAAGACCTCTAAAATGAATTACAATATATATAACTTATAACACATTTTTAAATAACTGTCTTTTTTTTCTCGCTCTCTCTCTCTCTCTCCCTATCTTCTTTTCTTGAGTGTAGTTTTTACAGTTGTACTCTTAAAGGAATTAATCGCAACTTACAATAATAATATCAAAATGCAAAAAAAAGAAACGATTGCAAAATGGATACCTGTACTCCCTTAATCCATTTATAATACTTTAAATGTGAAAGTAAATTTGTTTTTCTATTACCACTTAGCGCCTCCACAGCTTAACCAATCACTATGAAATTTGGTATACACGTACTATATGGGTCGCAGTACTATGTAGCCTACTTTTTATCCCGGTCAGTGAACACCCGGGCACGCGGAGGAGGTCGAGGCTAAAAGCTAGTAATACCTACATATAGATATTCGTTAACCTAAGATCCCGCAGCTGACTTCTGAAACTGTAAGTATTTTCAATAAACATTGGTTTCAATGAAAGTAAAGCGGATATATAACACAATGCACCCAGATTTCCTACTCTTAGACAGCTGCAACTTAGGGCTGCCAAGTGAGAAAAGTAAATAATTTTGATAAATTTGATATACTCATCATGTTTTTTACATTAAATAAAATTTCATTCTTTTCTGTATACAAAAACATATGGTATTCTCTAAAAAAAATGGCCATATGTAAGGATTGTTCGGGCCTAAACTTTTGTTCTAGATAATAGTGATATAGTTATGAAGAATTGATTCTTATTCGTTGAAATCTAAACTCAACGGAAGTTTACTTTTTTCTATACGGTAACCTTTAAAAATAACAGAAGTAAGGGTTACCACTTGACAACCCTAGATTGTGGGGAGCGAAGGGATTGTTATTATTGGGGACTACCAGGCTCAGGCTGGCAATATACTCTGTCAGATCGACCTCCCCGCGGTGCTCCTGAAAAACATCGTGCTGAGTTTCAGGTGTATTCATCACAACGACCTGCCATTCACCCTAGATTGCGGTCAACGTAGAACAGGCAACTAGATGGATTGTATTATATATTAGCTCATCTTTCATTTAAATCAAATTTAATCAAAAATCCTATTAGATATCTACATATTAAATGTGCAAAATTCTTTATAAATAATAGCATTTTGCCCTCTAGCGAATTTCAACGAAGCTATCATAATGAGAGTTTTCAGAGAATTCTGAACTCAGTGATTGCTTTCTTTGACGATTTCGCATTGCTTACTGAAACCGAAAGGTGGCGCTTTTTCTAGTCTTTGTATTTTGAGATTGTTTTCCAAAATTAATTTATTTTTTTAATCTTTGTAAGGATATTTTAATACAACCAAAATAATGTTTCGTATATAAGATACTTTACGTTATTAGATTTATTTAATTTTGAAACAAGAATACGCCATCTTATTGCTAACCATGGAATACAAAAAAAATTGAATCAGAGCTTATCTCTTATTAATATAATATTGCCCTTAGATATTCGCTTCGAATTGTTGCCTCGAGCATTAATAGGTACCTAAGAATCCCGCTGACGTTCGTACTCCCCGCTTATTTAGTAGTTAGTTATTGCACAGCAAGAAACACTAGTTAGGCGATTGTCTAATAAAATTAATAGTAAATTACTAGTGGTAATATTAGATTGTTGTCAACTTGTTCGTCATTTGCATAAAAAAATTATACCATCAAATTTTTTTCTTAATCACCGCAATTAATTGTAAACCACCCATGATTAAAATATTGCTATCCCTTGATTGCACTAAAGAAATTTAACCATAATTAAAACTTTTGGAGATCTACACTTGCTAATAATGGGGATATACATATAAAAATGTCTTAATATAGTTTTTTTATTAGGTGATAATGGAATGGTAACCTCGCCTGCGCTATCGGTATACGCTCGCGGGGCATAAGTGTGGGATAATAGGTAAGAATAAAAACACAAATCAGTTAGTCTATATAGCCTTAATACACCTGAAATTCAGCACGATGGTTCCAGGGGGGACCACGTGGAGGTCGATCTGATAGAGAATATTACTAGCAATGAGGCTGGTAGTTCGTCTTATTAACAATGTCTTCCTCATCTCTCCGTCCCCATCTTAATATAATTAACTACATCTAATAAGATTTAACCCAACTATTCAATCTATCTGTAGTGTATCTGTTTATAAGTAATATCTAATATAAGAATAGTCGAAGCTTTTTTGTTCCATACCATCAAAACAACTTAATAACATTAATTAATTGCTCTCAGATACCATATATTTATGAAAGCGATATAGACTAAATGATTTATATACAGAATTAAATAAAACATAGCAGCCATCAACTGTCACAAAAAGTATTTCATAAAGTAAATAAATAAATAAGTACATATTGCTTCGCAGAAAGCGACTCCAATCGTGATCACATATTACACCTTCACTGATAAATGACGAGATATTTGGTAGATATGTATGTTACATTGTAAATATTGAAACATAGAACATGGAATCGCGTGTTTATATGTAGATTTTGTTTCGCGTCAAACAGTCTTTTGATCCATAAAGAAAAATGACTGCTTCAATCGTCAGATAATTAATAAGACCAACACAGAAGTAAACCTTATCAATTGCACAAAGAATCGTAAAAATCGATTCAGAATTCATAACATAATAAAGTAAAATACACGCAAAAGTCAAACGAATAAAAAACTTCCTTTTTATTTCGGAAGTCATTAAAACTAAATTTAACAATTGAGTTCTAGGTACTTATATAGTCATATCTACATCTAGTCAAAAATTTCTTAATTTTCACAATTTATATCTCATGTGGGTCTTCACAATGAGGGGAGTTTGCCAGTAGTTGCCATGTTTGGCAGGCGGGTTAGCAATCGCAATTTGGCTTGGTGATATTTTAAGATAGACGCTGCAGGCTAACTCTCAATCACTAAATTCCTTTAGTAGCCTCTTACGACCTACAATAAAGGATGAGGTAGCCCATTCTATGCGTGGATCACAAAGCAGATATTATTAAACACGTCAGATGTTATATAATTTGAATCTACTACGTATTAATACATAAATATGTACCATTTTAGCTATTAAGTTACTTCGCCCAAGAGACATGACAGTAGGTACATATATTCTTCTTCAATAAATTGTATACAATCATAGCAAATTGAATTTTGGGTACGCAGTTCGTGCTTATACAGCATCAAATTACTAGATATTACAATCTTCAAGGTGATGGTGGCTTTATATAAAATGTTCCTTTACTATTTACTTCGAGTCTTCGAGATTGGTAAATTAAAATGTATCGAAATTAATTGGAAGCCTCCTTCTACCTTCCCCACTCACTTATTTATCAAACCCTTTTATATTACTTAAGATAGATACTACAGTGGTATCTCATTAATATTGTAAAAGGGAAATGTATATTTTTTGATAAATAGTGACCGTCATCTAAAAATACAAGTCGCAATCCATATTCATAGCATTCCTCATGCGTCCCTTCTTCTGAGCAGGCTTAATTGAGTTGGAAACTCTTAGCAACACTCACACAAATATTAGAAGTAATTCTCAGTATTATGCTCTTTGTTCAGAGTTTGAACAAGGTATCTGATCTTCACGGAAAGAATAGACGAATCTTTTGTTATCGTTTCATAGCTACTATATATCAAAATGGATGAATTAATGAAAACTCTTTATTATTCTCTTCAAAGAAAAGAATATGTATACAAAATATGCAAACAAAAAGTCCTATTGTTTAATCAAACAGATCAGAATTACAAGAAGATAATAGACATTTTTAGAAAGTAATAAATTTTATAATTCACTTGCGCTCTCATTATCTAAAAAAATAATATATAAACGTGTATGTTACAAAAAGAAACATAGTACAACAGTTTGATACTGAAAACATCTTTAAACAGAAATCTAGTAAAGTGCAATATTTCGAATCCAAACAAAAGGTATAATTTTGTGAAACATTTTCAACACGAAGTAGTAACAATATTTTTTTCGTTCTCACTATTATCGTAAAAAAATCAGTTACTAATGCCAGTATTATATATATAATAAATGATAATAATATCTACAAGGTGCCATATCTCAATATAACGGCATGATATATAGATGGATAGAAGTACACAGTAAATTTCTGAGCCCTAGATGTTAGTTCTACAAATAATTACATTACATCGATAAATTAATATATAACTTCCTATATGAGTTAGTTAGCAGTTATTAATACGAATGATCTACTCCAATGCAATATAACGTAAAATTTATATTTATCTTATAATGAACTGAATTTCATCTGAAAACTCCACGTAGTATAAAATCAAAATAATCTAACCTTTACAGCCTCTTCAACATCATCATCTCTAGAAGCCTTGGCTAAACTCTTCTTCATAAGCTGATACATGGTCTCTCTTCTAAGTGATCCTTCTCCAAGTAAATCATAACACTATGAACAATTATACTTGTAATTTTAATTCTTAGGTAAAAGGAGTTATAAAACTGTATTATTTAAAAACAAAAAAAATCTTTTTTTTTTGTTTTTAAATAATATAGTTTTATTATTTTAAACTTATTACAATAATTTTCTGATTATACTAGAACTATATATAGAGTTTTAGGGATTTCCTTCTCCTATATTTGTATATTATATGTATTTTCTTATTCAACTTTCACGACATCCTAAGGAGGAGAAGAGGTAACACTTGTATTTTTACACAGTCACCACAAGATCAGATCACTACTACATACTGCATTATAATGATGGAATATCTTAAGCACAACGTTTAATCTAATTCACATTATATTTGTGGTCTATTATCAAAAGACAAAAGCATTAATTATGCCATTCATTATCTTCATAATTTACTTGGCATGCTCACCTTGTTTAATGCTTTCCTCTCATTAACACGAGATTGGTTTAGTCTGTAGATTAAGTAAATAGATTGCGCTGATCGGAACATACAACTTTGTTGTTTTACGACTTGTTGAAAATGCTTTATTTCTAAGTCATTTGCATAACTACAAAATTAAAAAGTAAGAAGAAAGGCCGAGTCTATATTTTGTATTTAGATATTTATAGAGAGTTTTATTTTAGAATAACCTGATGTGTACTGTTGCTTACGCAGTTACGTTTTTTTTATTTAGTACTTAAATAGCGATTCAACTTTCAACAAATATTAATATCGACATAAAACTTTATCATGTACTTAAATAAACATATTTTAAATTACATAGATATCATACAAGCATTTTCTAATCATGAGTTAATCATACAAACTCGCCGGCGCTTGTATGAGTAATTAATTTACAGGAAGTGAAAGAGGTCTGCTCGGGCTCGGATCCGAGCTTTTCGTATTTTATAATTTCTTCTCATGTCCGGAAATAAACGTATCTAATAACATATATTTATGTAGGCTCACATTAGTATCGTATTCTTTTTTTAATATCCTATAGTACCGGTATACTGCTGGGCAACATCTCCAAGTGACTTTAATAATTGAATTCTTAAAAATTTATAAGTCTTACCGTAAATGCATATTTGATACGTTCCTCCAAATCACCTCTCAGATATAAGGACATTGCCTTAGCAAAAGTGGCCATTGTAACGAAGGGGGATGTACCTCTATCCAAAGCAACCATTACACGTTCCATCATATACGTATCTGTCATTCCAAGGCCAGTGTGAAGAACGTCTCTAAAGTGGGCCCTGAAATGAAACAATATCGATTACCAGAAAAACACAACCCTATTGTTCAAAGTATAAGATTAATAATGTTACGTGCTACTTATTAAAATACCATCTAAAAGAAAAAATAAACAAATCGCTTATTGCTGAATCTGAAAATTTGTTTTCTTGTGTTTACAGTTTAAATTGATAACAATACTATGACCACTGAAGTCTTTCATTTATAATATATTAATGAAAATACTTATATTACGTTCCCGTGATGCCTCGACAAAACCGAAATATAGCGCTACAATGTTAACTACATGTGAAAGCTATTCGTCGCATAATAGAATCATAAATAAAGAACAAATGCAACATAGCACAAAGCATCTTTTAAACAAATAGTAGAGGGTGGTATTAAGGTAATTGACGATAGCCGTTTAATATGCATTTTTTGTATGTGCAGTGCAGTGATAAACAAGCATACAGCCCGTCTGATAGTAAACGGTCACTGTAGCCTCTAGACGCCTACAGCACTAAATCCGTTCTAATGAATAAGAAAAAGAACGAAAACGATGATAACTTTTTGAATTGCAATTACTACTACACCGTCACCGCTTTCTCTCAAAAATATTTTAATAGAGTATTTAATATATGAGTATAGTAAGTAGAAGTACATCATTTCATTAGAGATTGTAAACTACTTTTAAATGAGATCCCAAACTCGATCATATTTTTATCTTTTTACCTTATACTCCTAAACGAGAGAATGTGATATAAAAATATTATAAATATTAAATATAAGAAATAGGCATAACTTCTTCCACTATGGTTAAAAATAGGTACTAAATTAAACTATATACAAATAAAACAGATTACAGAATAACATTATCAACTTTAATTGAGGCGAACACAGCTACTTCACAAAGCATTAAGGTGCTTCATCCTATCAAAGGTAATTTTTAAAACGTCATTCCTATTTTAGGGTAATAGTAAAAAAATTAAAAGAAATATTAAATTAAAATTCAATTCTTAACCTACAATCTGTATATTTAAGATTAAGTTATTTCAATTATAAGTTGCACAAACTTAATAAAGAAAAAGTGTCTTTCATTTTATAAAAAAATTAATTTGAGCGTACTTGTGGACACTCAAATAAAATCCAGCTACTTTGTATGCATGGATTTCAGAAGAAGGAAAACCAACTAAATAACCACTTCTAGACGTATACCAAATTTTAAGTTCCGAAACACAATTGTTTAACCGCATCCAATTTGGTGTAACAGTTTTTGCATGACGCCGAAATAAAATAATAGATAGACAAAGTTTCCAAAACTTATCAGTTATGACAATATATATTATTCATAATACTTATATATATAATATAATATATAAGATATAGAAAATAATATATATTATACATAATACATACAAAAAATAAAATCTTTTATCTTTATTAATTTAATAGTGATATCACGGCGTTACCATAAAAATAATTCAATATTGTTTTTCACAAAGAAAAGGCGATTTCATTGTGCGAAATACAGTTATTATGATTTTGAAACTAAACTACTAAACGCATTTTCCTAAAATCAATATGGAACCAATCTATATTATACTATATATAAAATTTTTCGTTTATATTCAGTACAAAACTCAATTTCAGAACGCTTTTGTTTAACGAAACAACTCTGCACGGTGAACTACTCCTTCTCATCACGATAATTCTTAGCGGGTAGCGGGGAGAAAAGGTAAAGCTACTCCCATACAATTCAATGTTAAGTATCTGTACTTGACATTGAATTGTATGGGAGTAGCTTGAAGCGCCTTAAATGTGTAACTATGTCACAGTCTCATTTCCAAGGAGAATTCGATGTCAGGCAGGCGGCCAGTCGTAAAATCAAAAGCCAAAACTTTGTGTAATACGAATAGAAACATATTACGTCAATCCAAATAACTAGTATAAAGGCAGGAAGACGAATATATACGTCATAGTCTCATAATCAATCAATAATACTCTTAGTTATTTAAACTGACAAAAACAGTTGGACAATATTTTACACGAATCACATAAAATGTCCTAATTCTGATTTTATTTTAAATACGAATACAATGAAACTTGGAAATAAATGAATTTATTTTAATATCATTTACTCAATATATAAACGCCGAAAAATTATTATTAAAGATAAGTTAGAAACAAATATCTACAACAATGTGTTATTGTTAGTTAACCATTAAATACAGGGGGGAAAGGGATTGCTAGTAAGGGAGACTGAGAATACCATTGCTAGCAATATACCCAACCAGGTCGACCTCCTCGCGGTTCCCCCTGGAAACTATCATGATTAATTCCAGATAAATTCATTATGATGGGCTAACTGGGCTGTTTTCATTCTCATCGATCACCCTTCACTGGTGCCACGCCAGCGTTTCCCGTTAGCGCAGGCGGGGTTACCATTCCATTTTTATCCAATAAAAAAAAAACCAATAAATACAATCCTATGAAGTTAAAAAATAATAATAAAATATTACGTAAAACAGAAAGCTTTGCAAAGACAGCGACAAAAAAAAAACAAAGACACTTAAAAAAACGTTTCAAAGTTTGTTCACTTATAACACTTATCTTACTAATATACACGACTATACAATTTAGTTTGCAGGCGGAAAATATGTTACAATGGTCAAACGCATTTCCAAGGAGGGTTGACGTCAAAAAGGCGGCCATTATGTAATATGAATAAAAACATATTACGTCGACCACAAATAATTGGAATAAGGGTAGAAAGATAACTATACTGACGTTACAATGATGTTACAATATATACTATATTTTATAAAACAAAAATTAAGCACTGTATTTCGCTTAAATAAATACAAGCATCTTATTTATTATACGAGAGATAAGGTTCAAGTCCGTGTAATTTAAGATTTTGTTCAGCTAAAACGTCTATTTTTATCCTGACAAAATTAGTACAGAACCAACATGCGAATAAATCCTTTTACCAAAATTAGTTTGGGATTGACGAACATATAAGTTACATGCACGCAATAAGACGACTTAAAATTTTTAATACTAAGTTTTTACAGATTGAAGGAGCTATAATTATTTTATGCTAGCCTAATGTACCTAGACTACAGTATTCTAGCAATGACATGATTGCATTGACTGGTATATATGCTAGCAACTGTCAAATTGTATACAATTAATGCCAACAAAGACACCATTTCATAGTCTTAAAAAAACAGAATTAAAATATATTACAATATTTAAAGTCCAACTTACTTTTCATCATCATCATATCAGGCGTTATTTGTTCACTGCTGAACTGCCTTCCCGGTAGATTGTTATAAGGAACGAGGCCATCCCTTATTGAAGTTTATAGTGGGGGGATGGGGAAGGGGGTATTTGCTAGTAGTTGCAACTAATTTTGTTTATTAAAACAACTTTATTTAAAAAAGTATAAAAAATAAAAAATAGAAATATTTAACTTTTTCTTATTCCTTTTATCCTTTATTTACAGTTACAATATTAAACAAACCTAGGTATTAAATCAGACGCAGCGGGTTTTTCGTCTCTTTTTTGAATTTTGAAAAATATTACCATAATTTCTGAAACAAAAACAAAATTAATATTATTTATAATTCTGGTTACACTCTGGATGTATTTACCTCGTATAAATATAAAAACTGTACAAGTTCACGTATTGTTTTAAAAATTGTTTTAATATATTTACTTTTAATAGAAACTGCAAATATTTTCTTTATATACAAGATTCGTATATGTATTAAACAATACAAAATCAAATCAAAATCTATTATTAATTTTTATTAAGATTAATATACAAATTTCAGCCGTTAAATATCCACTGCTAAACACAAGCTTTCAACAGTGGATACTTAATGGCTAAAATGTGTTTAAAACAAAGTGAGTTTTGCCAGTAGTTGCCACACTTGGCAAGCGAGTTGACAATAATAAATATGCAAATAACCGAATTGTCCTTGTTATATATATATATATATATATATATATATATATATATGTTACACATATATGTATATGTATATATGTCCTGAATAGAGGAACAAAACTAACGAAATGTTATAACAAATATTTGGATAGAATAATATTCTTGACGAAATCTAAAATAAACTTAAAATGAATAATGTTAATATTGAATCCGTCCATCCATCCGACATTATGGTAGTCTAAATGACTCAATAATATATAAGGCTACTGACTTTTCATTACAAAATGGAAACTTTGTAATAATAAAGTGATATTTATATAATAGACATAGTATGTTACCAATCGTACCAAAAATGACTCTGGTAAAAGATATTACTTAAATGATTTTAATTAAAGTAATGCCATTAAAACGATCTTAACTTTTAATCTAACTCTTAATCTAGGTTTGCTAGGTGTATAAAACAAGTAAAAATAACCCTGTTTAAAGCTTTTTGTCAGGTGTTCTACACGAGTAACTTATGCACAAACTATAATCAAAAAACAATGCTCTTCGAGTCCAATATAGTAATGCCTTCAGTGCACTGTTGGGGCTACCCCGTCGCTGTAGTGCGTCACACATACTTGCACGAGAGCGTACGGATGATTTTTACGCAATACGGTGCAAACGAATTGTTTCGCTATCGAGTAGGATGCGTGTTCAGTATCCTGAATACAATTGCCGGTAAAATGGACTGTCCAATCCTAAAATATTAGGTGGAACAGGTTATCAATGTAATAGCGTCTTGACCGCTCATTTACCTAACATAGGTTAACTAAATTTATAACTAATAAAATAGACCTTACGTTGTCTATATAAATAAATATTATTATTAACTGTAGTAAATATTTGTAAAAAATATAACAAGTTTATACCAATATCTGTAATTATTTAATTACTAATATTATCATGGCAATTTTTTGAAGCAGACTCAGAAGTCGCTAGCACTAACACCAGAGGAAAACTTTATAGAAAAGTCGTTTGCTTAGTCACCTCTGTCCCATTCGAGTTTCAACCGTGAAGCAATTGTGTTTACATGACTGTGTTTCGGTTTGAAGAGTGGAATATGACAGTGAATTTACAGGGTATAGAAGAATAACACCTGAGTCCTCAGGAATAACAACGCATATCATAGGCGAAGCAATATACTCTGTTATGCACATGGTACTGCTCATGTCTATAGGCGACGGTTACCACTTTCCATCAGGACGGCCGTCACCTTGTTTATCATTCTGAGTTGCATAAATAAAATATTGGTAACTACCACTACACGAGAATATACAACAAATGTTATCTAATTATAGCAAATCCACATCTGCCCAAAAGTCTTTTCAAAAAGAAATTCAATAGTTATTTATACGAAAATGGATATTCAATTTCATATGGCGACTGTAGCGTGCAAGTTCTATATTTAGAAGGGAAAACATAATATGTAAGTATCCAAGGACAAATATATCACACAGTACACAGTTTGTACAAGATAAATTTTTCAATATATTCGCTAATGTCCGTCTTGTCTAATGTAATTGTAGTTAATATAGAATAGAATAGAATAGAATAGAATAGAATTTTATTGCTAACTGTGTACATACATATAGCAGTAACTATTGCTTTGAATTTGACATCAGTATCAACAGTTATACCCTATCGGGCATGCAACAATTTAAGAACAGGTAATTATATTAACATCGAAACATTCAATACTATTACCATTACTTGATTACAAATAAATATGAAATATTATACAATACAATTAACAAGACAAAGAATAATCATAACCAAATTAAAATAAAATAAACATAATTTCACTTACATGTCAATTATTATTAATTATTAATTTAATTAGTTTTAAGATTGAAGTATTCATTTAAATTATAAAAAACATTATCAAAAAGCCAGGCTTTGAGTTTAATTTTAAACATATGCTTATCCTGACATTTAATGTTTAAGGGAAGATGATTAAATACTTTAATACCCATTATAATTGCACTCCTTCCATATGTATAACTATTTATTGTTGGTAGACAAATATCATATTTGTATTTATTACGTAAATTATTTCGAATATCAGATTTATTAACAAAATATGTCATATTATTATTAACAAAAACACACAATTCCATAATATATATGTTAGTCAGGCTGAGATATTTTTCATTTTTAAATATATTTCTTAAAGTCTCATCTGAATACATATTATAAATAATACGTAGACATTTCTTTTGAAGTAGAAAAGTCGATGCAACATCTACAGAATTTCCCCAATATATAATTCCGTATGTTAGTAAAGGGTACACATTACCAAAATAAGCGGACCGAGCAACAGTAGGCGAAGAGTTTTCCACGAGTATAGAAAGAGCATAACAATAACTTGATATCTTTTTATTTACTTTATCTATATGCGATTTCCAGTTTAGATGACAATCTATGGTAACACCTAAAAAGTTATGTTCGTTAACTTCCTCGACTGTTGTATTTGAATGATGGATTTTCAATTTTAAAGAATTATTTTTATAGTTGCGAAATTGAATAAATTTTGTTTTCTTAAAATTTATTTTCAGGTTAATAGTTCTGAGCCACTTAACTATTGTTTGTAATGTTTCATTTATTTCATTTTCAAACACGTCATTATCACTGCTATTATCTGTTATAAAAATGGTCGTATCATCTGCAAACATCACACAGAGATGTTTTGTGATTTTAGGTAAGTCGTTTACACTTACCAGAAAAAGAAGTGGACCCAGAACACTTCCTTGAGGGACTCCTACAATTGTTTCTGCTTGAGTAGATTTAATTTCCTCAACAGTATTATTGTTTTTATTATATTTGTCAATAACTGTGTATTGTTTTCTATTCGTTAAATATGATTCAACAAGTTTTAATGCTATACCACGCACACCCATGTTTTCTAATTGTATTAAAAGAATGTTATGTTTTATACAATCAAATGCCTTTGACATATCCAAAAATAAACCAACACCTGCAGTTTTAGTGTTCAATGCATCCCATACGTCTTTTAGTATTCTAAATATTGCCGAACTTGTTGATTTTTTCTTTTGAAATCCAAATTGATTACTATCAAGTATGTCATTAATTTCGAAGAATTTAATTAGTCTTAAGTAAATTACTTTCTCAAATATTTTAGAAAACGACGGTGGTAAGGCTATTGGTCTATAATCATTTATATTTGATCGCGTACCCTTTTTAAACAATGGTTTTATTTTTGAAAGTTTTAAGGCGTCAGGATATTTGCCAGTTTCAATCATTAAATTTAATATATAAATGAGAGGTTCACTTATACAGTTTATGGATTTTTTAATAATTGATATTGGTATGTCGTCATAACCACAACTTTTTTTATTTTTAAAACTCGTAACAATTTTAATTAATTCAGTATTATCGACCGGTTCTAAAAATATGCTCTTGCAAGTTTTTTCGGACGTTGACTTATACAAACTGTTTTCATTGCATTGAGCGTTATCATTTACAAAGTAATCATTAAATGTTTTAGCTATGATTCTCGGGTCTTCAATGAGTACATTATTATTAATGAGATAATCAACTGTATTTTTTAAATTATTTACAGGAGTAGTTAGTTTTTTAATGATATTCCAAGTAGCTTTGCTTTTGTTTGCGCTTTTATTAATAAATTCGATGTTATGTTTTATTTTCGCTTTATGAGTTACTGATTTCAAAATTTTACAGTATTTTTTATAATACACAATAAGGTTTGTACTTCTCTTCTTCAATATATTATGATAAATTCTTTTATATTTACTTGATTTGCATATACCCCTAGTTTGCCAGTTTGATTTTCTGTGATATGTCATTTTGACTTTTTCTACAGGTATACATAAGTCATACAACATTTTAAATATGTTTATAAAAGTTTCATATGCTACATTAGGATCATCATGTAAATATACCTCCGAAAATTTCAGTTGAGACAGGTAATGCAAAAATATAGGCATATTCTCATCAGTATTCCTTCTATATACATACCAGTACTTTAAAATAAACTCCTGGCTACATGGCACCTCGATCAGTTGAGCTGAATGGTCTGAAAGACCTAGGTGCTCGACTTTGGACACGTAATTTTTATGATTTGTCAAGATATTGTCTATGCATGTTTTTGTATTTACTGATATTCTTGTTGGTTCATGTATTGTAGGTTTCAAGTTATATTTTAATAATGTATTCAGGAACATTTCACTTTTACTATTATTCTCAAGAGTATTAATATTGAAATCACCAGCTATAACAATTTTTTTCTTTGAGTACCGTGATCGTATCGTTAATCTTTGCAATAATAACTCCAATGCCCCAATAAATATATCAAAGTTCGAGTTTGGTACTCTATAGACACATATGACCACATAGTTCAATTCAGGTAACAAAATGCCACAACACTCAAAGTTAAGTTCCATTGTTATGTTATTTATGCATTCAAGCTGCTTTGTATTTATTCCGTTTTTTGCATAAATGCATACACCTCCTCTAGATTTACGACGACAAAAGGAAGCCACCATTTTATAACCCGGAATTTGCAATGTAATTGTGTTTTGTGCTTTAAGAAAAGTTTCACTAAAACACAATATATCCATTTCATTTCACTCAGTCAAATAGAATTAGTTACTAATAATTCTATTTGACTGAGTTTAGATCTAATACCTTGTATATTTTGATGTAGTATCTTTAACGAATAATTATTACTGTTGTTCACGAAAACAAGGCTGTTCCAGATTATTAATATTTGAATCAATTTTGGACTTGGGATTTCTTTTGAAATAATATGGTATAGTACCTTTTTTTAATACCTTCGTTTCAAACTGTTCGGAAGTTGCCTTAAGGTAACTCTTTTGTTTAGCTAATTTTGTAATCTCATTAAGTCTAATTTTATTAAAATAGTATGGAATAGTTCCCTGAACGTAGCAATTTTTATTTTTATTACTTATCCTCCTTTTGACTTTTGACTTTTGACAGCAATTATCAGTTTTTCTTGAAGAGCAATTATAACGCTTTCCATTTCCTTAAATTTTTCATCTGAACTAATACCAAACTTAGGACAACTTCTATTAAAATTGCTGATCGATTCGTATGATGCGTCTATGTCTTCTTCTAAATCAGAAATATCCACCTTCAGAGACTCAAATGAATTATTAATTGGCAAGTTCAATTTACATTTATTTCTACATGTCACATTTTTCTGTGAATTATATGATGTATCTTGATAGGTAATAGTTTCGATTACTTCATCGTTTACAGTTTTTTTGGAAATACATAATGGACATTTCCAGCTGATTTTCCTTTCTGGCTCCATTAAATAAAATCTTTGAACAGATACATTGGTGCAATCTATATGAAATGTTAGTTTACATAAGTTACAACAGAGATATTGTCTATTTGAGATTTCTTGTTTACATTTATAACACACTAGCGTCATCTTGCGTCGATTTATGAAAATATATTAGATAAAGTAAAGTATGAATTGTCTATGGCAGTTGCTGTATTAAGTTTCTGAACGTAGATGTCGATCTTTTTTGTTGTAGTACCCTCAGATTTATTATTAATATTACACACTTATTGCTGTCGCTGCGTTAATTTGAATATTCAGACAACCGTTTGTGAATTAAACTAGTTCTTAGTTCTCGTAGGTACTTATTGTGATACTATAAAGCTACTCACTGTTTTCTCTGAATATTTCGATATTTTCATGTAGATTGATTATTAAAACAATAAACTGAATCTTGCACCAACACCATACATATGCCACTTTATATTTGATTCTGACTAGTATAAGTTGAATTCGTTTCATAGATTTATATAATTTCGAATGTTATTGCAATCCCCGTTTTATTTCAATCACTTAAAGAGTTAATACACTACAATTTTATTTTTAATGCAGTAAAATCAATGGAGTTACGAACTATTCACTGTTGATGCCACGACAGTCAACTGTCAAAAAAAAAAGAAAATTAGCCACTGTATAAACCTATACAGTGGCTAATTTTGTGAAGGAAGGAAAATGAAATCTTAATAAATGAAATTGCAAATTGCTGTTTATTTACATAGTATTTTTATCTACTTATATACGCCGCCAAATAAACTTACGCTCCTACGGCTATCTTGCTCAAAGGACATTGGATTTATGAGGAATACTCAAGATACAAAAAATTATTACAAAACATGAGATAAAATTAGATACGTTTTCTCCACGAACTTTTATAAAAGCAGCCATTGTTTAGAACAATAAAAAGTTGTGTTATCAGTTTCTGTGCAACAACATGATCTGGGTTCGTGGAAACTTTTATTTAGAAATATTTCACAAAATGTATAACTTTTGTATAGAAAAAAATTTCGAAGCAACTTTTTACCTTTTCTTTATTTGTCACCATTGTATGTAAGTACATAGATCCATAATGTTATCTATCATTAATTGCCCAAAATTTACATTTAAAATTTTTATGATAAATTTACCCTACATTGACTAATAATTCAAAATTCTTAATACGAAAATAAAAAATAAAATAACAATAGGAGTAAAAGATTTAAAGTAAACCATCTATTTCTGTTACATAAACTCTTATATATTATTGTTGTATTTACAATATTACTGTTGATAAAGGGAATATAAATGAGTTTGTTTGTAACCTCTTGACGTCTAAACAACTCAATCAAATGTCATGAAGTTTGGTTTACACGTAGTATTTTGGATGGAGAAAAACAATGGTTCCTTTTTATTGCGATTAATCAATATATCCCTGTCACACGAACGCAGTCGCGGTTAAATATTTGTATGAATAATAAATATCCTCATAATTGTAATCCTAAATAAAGTCGTTAGAGACATTTGTTGATTATTCCATTATAATGAAACGGATGCACTTGCATCTAACCGAATATGTTTAAATTTAACGTACCAAAAAGCTTACTTGGATTATTAAGACGAAATTAGGTCTATTGACCTAGCATGACGAATTCATCAGGCATTAATTATGATGATTTCCAGGGAAATGGTATGGAGGTCGATCTGACAAGATATATTGCTAGCAATGGTAGCAATCCCGGGACTTTACCCACCTCGATTGAAATAAAAAGGTACTCGTATCAAAGTAAAGTATCAAAAAATGTTTTTCAGCGAAATTAAACAATGTAATTCTAATCAACAACAGCGGGATATTTTTATGCAACTTAAAAAGACAGTTTGTCTTTCTGAGCTGACGGTCCACCGTATGGAAAGTGATATATTGACTGCTCGAGATAAAAGTAACTTATATACTACATACAAAATACTATGTGTAAACCAAATTTTATGACGATTGAGAGTTGTTAACAAAGTTAAAAACAAACTCCTTGTCTCATTTATAATATTAACGAGTGTATCGTGTTATTGTCATAAAAAATATTATATTATATCTATCGACTACCAGCTGGAAAGTAACTTTTTCTTTATTTTATGCATATTTATATTACCAAGAGTTTTCATTTACAATCAGCTCAATAAACAACTTCCGAGTACTTTTAAGTATACATTAAGTACTCTTTGTCATCGTAATAATTCGGGAAAAAAAGGTAAAGTTACGCCCACATGTCTCAAGGTCAAGTAAGTAAGAAACGCCTTAAGGCAACAAGAAAAAATAAACACAGATTTACCTTCATAATATTAATGAAAATAAAGATTTCTATGTACAATATTTCATCTATTTCTTGTATTGTCACCAATTATCTATTATTCCACTTACGTTCTAGTTCATCAAACGTGAAATGTGTTTCTTTTTGTATATCTATCCACATTGCACCATGTTTCTTCCGAAAACGAATCTCTTCCATTGGATCCAAAGCAGAGTCAAGTGACGCCGACATTGTACAAGAGACAGCCGCTTGCGTTTAAATTACCAATAATTTAGCGCCAAAAATATTTTATTTGTACTTTTTGCAAAATACAATTCAGTATGTAGTTTAGTTGTTTACTAATTGACACTCCATTTATTGTTTTATTTTTACACTTTGATCCAAGAGAACAAAGGATGTATACGTATACAGCCAAGTTTGATTTAATATTTCTATTACTTTCGTGGTTTCTTTACCATTATATTGTTGGAATTCTTTGATGAAAAATGTATTGTTGATAATGTTTCTCACAAAATAAAGTAAGTTAACAATCCAACGAGGAAATGTAACCAGCATTGGTTTATTTTTTCAACTTCCCGAAACTTCCAACTTAAATATTATCAAGTACGGACTTTATTTATGTATAAAGCAATAAATAGGTTTATTTATCCATCTATCCGCAACGACCCATTAAAGATCATTGATGGGCATTAATGTATTTCCATAAAGCGAGATTATTGAGTCACTATTAACACCTTTGCAAGGATGTGGCTAGTATGGAGTCTTACTTCGTATTTAAGTTAAATATTGGTTGCAAATTGGTGTAGATAAATAAACACTATGCATCGAGTTATGGACTAAAATATAATGTAAAAATAATTCTAATAATGGTATTTCAGTCAGGAATAGGGCCGAAGAGGATTTCATCAGTTTTTATAGATAGGCACTATAGTGGCAAGAGTAAAACAGTTCAGATACTTAGGACATATCGTGACGGACTTCATCATGACGATGATGTAAATATGGAAAGGGAACGAGTGGCCTGGCCCTTTGTTGCAACATACTTGCGCGAAGGTTCGCCCATTGTAGCCCAGAAGTGAAGCTGACATTGTTTCAAGCATTTTATCAATGTTTCTATACATTACAAACTGTATCAAAATTGCGCGAAGTAGCATTAGAATGCAATATAATAATGCATACCACATTTTGATTAGGGTTCCGAAATATTGTAGTGCATGTTTGCGGAGTCTAAAGTAAATGATTACTTTGCTAATAATAAGATCTTGTGTAGTATGTTTCTTGACCCACATTCGTAATTCAAAGAAAAAGAACCTCAGCATACTATCACAGTATATGAATTGTCTTATTCTATTCCCTTCTATTCTATTCTAATCCCATTCAAAATTACTGGTTATCTATGCACCGAGACAAAAACATTAAATAACGTTCTTTTGTTTTTATCTAATAATAGTCTTTTATTATATTTTTTTATACACATTTTCTATTAGACATTTTTTACTATATGGTATTTTTATATATCATACGAGTATATCTTAAACGTTAGCGTAAATATCGATGTATTATAATATAAATGTACACGGGTTACATAAATAATTAATAATTATTTATTATTATTAATAAATAATAATTAATAATAAATAAAATAAAAAATATAATAATTATTATAAAAACAGGAAATAACTCGTTTTTTTACATTTAAAATTGTTTTTATTAATATACCTAATGAAATATTAGAAGAAAAAGAATATGCAAATATTTCAATATTGTTTTATTTCAATATAAATTCATATAGCTTTTAAAAAAATTAAGTACTAACATGATTGACCCTTATGATTGCCATAAATATATTATATTCTGACAAGTTTACCAGTTTTACCATATAGTAATGAAAATTCACCTGATAAATGCAAACAAAGTACCTAAAAATTCCTTACCTTGACATGTTCAGTGTGAATTTGTCTATATATTGTATATTTTTTTTTTATCTTACTTACAAATTGTTTATTAATGATGACAATGCTCATTTGTAATATTATACTGTACCATACTTAAGTAGGACTTAATTTAATTTGGACATAATACTAAAATATAAATAATTATCTCAATCAACACGTGCAAAATTTTGTGCATTTGATATAATTAAGAGCAATATTTCAATCTTTACCATATTTATTATTTATTCATTTAACTCTTTATTGCACCATAATCAAAAATATACAATGACAATTGAACAATTCAAGTGAAATACAGTAACATAAATACAGATTGAAATATACACATAAAGGTATAAAAGGCGGTCTTATCGCTAGGGGAATATCTTACAGACAATCTTTGATTAAAGGAGAACAGAGAGAACAGATAGAAATGGGTAGGTGGTGCAAGAGTGAATTAATAATTTTTCGTGCATTCTTATTGTTAATTAAAGACTCATTTAAAACCCTTTTTAAACTAAATTTCATTGGTAAGCTAAAATCCATTATAATTTTCGATTAAAATTAATTTTCTAAAAAATTATCCATGAGTTTATAATAAGACAGTATAATGAATTAAATGGGATGGGCAAAATAATTTAAATGGTACATATTTTTTTCGTATATCAAAAAAGAAAATAATACAAGACCGGAAATAAAGCAATTTAGGACCGGATAATTATTAGAACGACGAAGCGAGATCGAATATTTCACAAGTGAATTTAAAAGGACTACGCGCCATCCGAGTCCTTTTTAATTAAACGAGACCGTTAATTGCCGTTTCGGGAGAGATTTGTATCATATTAAATGTTACGTTGCATTTAGAATAATAATTAAATTATACATTTCTGTAATATTTCTTACACTGATTTTTAATAAAAAACTATAATAAATAAAACAATATTTTGTATCGAGCAATTTTTATCATTCTATTGAGACACAAATAAAAAATGAAATAAATAAAACTGTTCAGCAATTTCAGAATTGCTGATGTGAGAACGAAATAATTAATTAACTACTGAAAAAAACAAAGTACGTAGTACTGAGAGCAAAATAACTTTTAAGAGCTTTACCAATCAAATAATGATAAATAAATATAGGTAGGAGCGTAGAATTCTGTAAAGGTTGTTAAATAAAAAATAACGTTATGTGTACTAAAAACTCGATACTAGATTAGAGCAGGGGCTCTCCACAGATGGCACATAGAATATAAAGAATACACGTCGTCGTCATTGATAAGCACCTAACTTTCTACCCTATCTGGATATAATTTGATATAAGATCACCTTTCCTATATCTTTCGCTTTAATACAGATCATCACTGGACACACTTGTGCCAAAGAATATCACTATAGATTTTTTATCAAGATGGACCATAAGTTTCTGTGTGATGATCCATCACAGCAAACAATCCGCCACCAGTTATCGTCGAATGGGCGACCGGAAGATGATTAGGATTGCCCAATCGAGACTCGACCACTCTATTATCTCAGTAGCAGTTTTAGGCCGTCAGTCTTATTTTATGTCCCCTAATTTGCACTCTATCTCCAAATTTATATACTTGGTGTGTCCAATACAGCAAGCATTCCGCCATCCGTATTTAATAGCGAGGACGGGATGCCTGAACAAATCCACCTCCAACTGGGGGGAAAGGGATTGTTAGTGATGGAAACTAAAAATCCCATTGCTAGCAATATACCTAACCAGGTCGACCTTCACGCGGTTCCCCCTGGAAACTATCATGATTCATTCTTCATGATAGGTTAACTGGCCTGTTTTCATTCTCATCGATCATCCTTCACTGGTGCTCCGCCAGCGTATCCCGTTAGCGCGGGCGGGATACCAATCCATTTTCATCGAACAAAAAAATTGCACCTCCAACTACGTGTATAAAAAAACCGCTTACAATCTTGCGCCACTTCAAATATCGAGAATCGTTGTAAAATGATAAATATCACACCATATATATAAAGTTAAAAAGAAAACATTAACAATACGGATAAATACTTACCAGAACTGATTCAAATCCAGCTTCCTCCCCAAAAGCCGCCAACACAATTACCTTCCACCCCCGGGTGGCAATTGCAATCCTAATTGCAGAGCGGTTGTCTGGGGAAAAGGCTGGCTACACGTGGTGTAACAGTCGGTGACGATTCTGTTCTCTAACGGGTAACTGTATTATGAAGAAAGTTTGGTTATATAACTTCTTCAATTGTAAAAACACCAAGTTACTAAACGTGTGCCATGCCTATATGGCCATCAAATATCCTGAAAAATTTACGTTTCTAAATATCCAAAACAGCGCAAGTAGTGGTTAAAATTAACACGGCGAAACGCGAAGATAATATCGGATAAAAAAGGAGTTACGTTTACACAACGAAGTCACATGATGTCATACAATGATCGACCATGGCCGACTGAATTAAACTACTAAATTATGTCATGTAACCCACAGCCAAAGATTTGCAAATAAAATATTTAAGATTTGATAAAAATTATTATAACATCCTATTGTTTACATATAAGCTACAATATCTAACACATTCAATATTTATAATAGTCAAATATTCAATTGCAAAGCTGAAATACACATTTTTTTTTTAAATCTGATGTTTTATAAATACGAATAACAACATTGAATTTGTTCCTTCAATTATAACCAAGCTCTTCTCTAAAATCGAGAGAACAGCAAGGATAGGCTTCTAGAAATCTATACAAATTTTAACTCAAAATAGCCATACAAATAATCCTCAAAACAATCATCCGGCTCGAAGGATCACTTATTAAGTTTATAAATATGCTGACTCTGTTTATTTATGTAGCAACTTTATTAATTTTATCAAATGAAAATACCGTCTGTTGACGGTTATATTATATTTTTTGTTATAATTCATTTGTCTTCAATTTTATTTTTTATAAAAAATGTAATTGTCAATTTATCCAAAAATATTAATTTAGAACGGATAAAAATTGCGGGCAGATAATATTTCAGGAAATAGAATTGAGGGTATTGTGAAATGAATCTGTGAAATAAATATAGGTTAAATTACAAGTAATATGAGAAAATCAAAGTTTTCATTACCTTCAGGAAAAGGAAGCTCTCGAACTGCCTATATTTTTTTTGCATAAATAGGGAAATAAGGGTGATAAGCACCAACAAATTTAACATTTTTATTAATTTATCAAAAATTAAACAAATTAGTTATATCATCTGAAACCTTATGAAGCGTCAACTATCTCTCTACTCTATGATTATTTATTTTTACACATATATTATGTGTGACCGATATCAGTATGTAGAAATTAATCGTATTGATAAAAATTTTAATCCCTCAACATATAGATCCACTTTTTTTGTAAC